CCAGGGGGCCAGGAAGAAGTCCAGGTGCTGCAGGGCATTGAAAATAATTTGGTCCAGTTCCCATTTTATGCATCAGCATATAAACTATGAAAGCATGCAGTATATAATCAAGTGGTAATGCGTGTGGCATGGATAACAAAACCTTTCAGAATTTAGAGGACAGATTAAGGAATAAACTTTATCATTATAAAGGTAAAGAGACACAGCATCCCTGTTAGATTTAATTGTCTGTATACGTGTACTGTAAAAAGTTTTTTTTTTCTAGGATGCAGCGTAATTTCTCATTAAAAAAAAAAAAAAAACTTCAGCCGAGAGACAAGTAGAAAGAAGATAATATCATTGGGGTGACCCAGTTAAAATAAGTGGGAAATCATAAATTAAAGTAGAGTAACCACCAGTTTCCCTTATTAGAATTTTTTTCAAGCCAAGTCTCTGCTGGTCTGTGTTCACCCTGGATCAAATCTAGCAAGAGCACCATATGAAAAATGGCCACAGCATACCTAATTACTTTCCTTAATTACTCAGATATCTGCAACAGCAAGAGTAGCAAGAGTGTCTCACATGAATCTGTTTTATTTCTGCTTTGCAATTATGTGTGCAACCAGATTTCCCTTAGAAAACAAATGAGCAGAGCTGTAAACAAAAGTCACTAACAAGAAGCAAAGGTGATAGTTTCTATGGCTCAAAGCCATGAATTTGGGAAACAACAACAAAAAAAAATAATCTTTGAGAAAAGCCAGTTTCAAACTTCCATGCTCACACAAAGTTCCCTCCACATTCCCTGGATTAGTCATATATGTGGTCTATGAGAAACTAGCAAATCTCTTCTCCTCTAACTGTAATTGATGAAGGAAGGAGATAGCCATTACCATGTGATCTCAAATGCTGTAGCTAGCTGGCACCACAGAAAAGTTAATTATAATCCTTGAAACAATTCAGCATTTCATTTTGCAACCAGTTATCATTCTCTGTTTTGTCTAGTCTTCTGAAATTCATTTTCATAGTAAACTAATCTTTATAGTGTCAGACAGTGATTAGCAACAGTGACGCATTTTACAGATTAGGTCCTCAGAACTGTGCCTAACATATTGATATAGAAAGTTTGGTAGAGATCTTAGTGTTGATAATGTTGATTTGTCCTCAAAACACAAAATTGGACCAAGATTTCTGTCTATAATAGCCAAATTATTGTTAACAACATTGCATCATTAAACACATTGTAATAAATTGGACAAATATGCTTGTGAGAGGAAGGAGATGAAACTGTCTGCCTGACAGGTTAACTTATATTTGCATATTTGTCAATTAATGACATTTACAGTTTAGGAAATTATTTGACATCTCCCAATATAAGAAGAGGTTCCTATCCTATTAGGTTTAAATATCAAAATGCTCTGAATATTCCTAAAATGTTCACAACTAAAAATGGCAACACATTTTCTAAGGATATCATTTACCAAAAAGTGTAAGATATAGAAGAAGATTTGAGAAATAATTTGGAAGATTTTAGATGTCAGAAAATATATGTATTAGTCTGTTCTCATACTGCTCTAAAGAACTGCCCAAGGCTAGGTAATTTATAAAGGAAAGAGATTTAATTGACTCACACTTCTGCATGCCTGGGGAGGCCTCAGGAAACTTACAATCATGGTGGAAGGGGAAACAAACACATTTATCTTCACATGGTGGCAGGAGAGAGAAGTGGAGAGCAAAGGGTGGAAAAGCCCCTTATAAAACCATCAGCTCTCATGAGAACTCACTCAATACCATGAGAGCAGCATGGGGGAACCACCCCCATGATCTAATAATTTCCAACAAGGTTCTTCCCTTAATATGTGGGGATTATAATTCAAACTACTAGTCAAGGTGATATTTTGGGTGGGGACACAGCCAAACCATGTAATTCCCCCCAACCCCTCCCAAATCTCATGTTCTCACATTTCAAAACACAATCATGTTTTTCAGTCACCCAAAGTCTTAACTGGTTAGCATTAACTCCAAAGTCCAAGTCTAAAGTCTCATCTGAGACAAGACAAGTCTCTTCCACCCAGGAGCCTGTAAAATCAAAAGCAAGTTAGTTACTTCCTACATACAATGGGGCTATAGGTATTGGGTAAATACACTTGTCCCAAATGAGAGAAATCGGCGAACACAAAGAAACTAGAGGCACCGTGCAAGTCTGAAATTCAATAGGACAATAATTAAACCTTAAAGTTTCAAAATGATTGGTTTTGACTCCATGTCTCACACCCAGGTAGTACTGATGCAAGAGGTAGAATCTCAAAGTCTTGAGCAGCTTCACCTCTGTGGCTTTGTAGGGTAAAGCCCCTCTCCGGTCTACACAGGCTAACATTGAGTGTCTGAGGCTTTTCTGGGGACATGATGCAAGCTATCAGTGGATCTGACACTCCGAGGTCTGGAGTAGGGTGGCCCTCTACTCACAGCTCTGCTAGGTAGTACACTGTGGGGAATTCTGTGTGGTGGCTCCAACCACACAATTCCCTTCTGCACTTCCCCAGCAGAGGTTTTCAATGAGGGCTCTTCTGCTGCGGCACACCTTTGCCTGGACATCCAGGCATTTCCATACATCCTCTGAAATCTAGGTGAAGATTCCCAAGCCTCAATTCTTATCTTTGGCACACCAGCAGCATCAACATCACATGGACCATTCCAAGGCTTGGGGCTTGCACCTTCTGAAGCCATGGCCTGAGCTGTATCTTGGCTCCTTTCAGGCATGGCTGAAGTGGTTAGGATATGGTGCACTAAGTCCCAAGGCTGCACGCAGCATTTTTTCTTTCTAGGCTTCTGGGCCTGTGATGGGAGGGGTTGTGGCAAAGGTCTTTGACACACCCTGTAGAAATTCTTCCCATTGTCTTGGCATTTAGCATTTAGCTCACTAATTATGCAAATTTATGCAGCAGCCTTGAATTTCTCCCCAGAATTTTTTTTTTCTATTACTCTGCCAGGCTACACATTTTTCAAACATTCATGCTCTGCTTCCTCTTGAATACTTTGCCACTTAGAAATTTCTTTCACCAGATATCCTAAATAATTTCTCTCAAGTTCAAAGTTTCATGGATCTCTATGGCAGGGACAAAATGCCATCAATCTCTTTGCTAAAACATAGCAAGAATCACCTTTGCCCTAGTTCCTAAGAAGTTCCTCATCTCCATCCAAGACCAACTCAGCCTGGACTTCTTTGTCCATATCACTGTCAGCATTTGGTCAAAACCATTCAACAAGCCTCTAGGAAGTTTCACATTTTTCCACATCCTCCTGTTTTCTGAGCCTTCGAGTTCTCTAGGAAGTTCTAAACTTTCCCACATTTTCCTGTCTTCTTCTGAGCCCTGCAAACTGTTCCAACTTCTGCCTGTTACTCAGTTCCAAAGTCATGTCCACATTTTGGGGTATATTTATAGTAGCATCCCACTCCTGGTACCAATTTACTATATCAGTCCATTTTCTTGCTACTATAAGGGATTTCCTGAGACTGGATAATTTAGGGAAAAAGGTTTAATTGACTCACAATTATGCATGGCTTAGGATGCCTCAGGAAGCTTATAATCATGGTAGAAGGGAAAGCAAATATATCCTTCTTCACATAATGGCAGGAGAAAAACTGCAGAGCAAAGTGTGGATAAAACCATCAGATCTCATGATGACTACTCACTATCAATAACCATATGGGGGAACCACCCCCATGATCTAATCACCTCCCACTAAGTTCCGGCCCCAACATGTGGAGATTATAATTTGGATTACAACTCAAGATGAGATTTTGGATGAGGATACACTCAAACCATATCAGGATATAGGTAAACCAAGGCAAGTGACATTATAAATTCCTTTGCATCTCTTAAGAATGTAGTTTTTGTGACTGACTGTGTATGCAGACTCTCTCTATAATTTAGTGGAAGTATATTTTGATTTTATTCTGCTAGTATGAACCAGAACCTATTAGAGATGAAATTGTCTTTGGGCTTCCTTTAGCCATCAACTTTTGATCATCAGAACCAAAAGATAATTTCTATCTTTGAGAAAGAAAAATGAGACCTTCAAGTAAAGAGAGAGAAATACTTGAAAGAGATGTTTCTTACTCCCTCTCTCCTCAGACAGGCATATATAGCTATGAGATAGTTTATCCTCAAATCCATGATTAGGGTAATGGGGTTTAATGTGCATTGGAAGGGTGAAGGAGAGACGCAGTTGTATTAACTTCTATTTTGAAATGTGTGTTACTGGGATGAAGCCTATAGTCAAAATTGCCTATGATAATTTGGTACTACAGTTTGTGAACTCCCAGCTGGACATACTGGCTCATGTTCATGTCTGTGATCCCAGCACCTTGGGAGGCTCAGGAAGCAGGATTGCTTGAGCCCAGGAGTTTAAGATCAGCTTAGGCAACATGGCAAGGCTCTGTCTCTACAGAAAATACAAAAATCAACTGGTCATGATAGTACACACTTGTGGTCCCTGCTACTCTGCAGGCTGAGGCAGGAGGATTGCTTGAGCTCAGGAGATCAAGGCTGCAGTGAGCTGTGATTACACCACTGCACTCCAGCCTGGCTTACAGGATGAGACCCTGTCTCAAACACTAAAACAACAACAATGAAAATCAAATTGTGAACTTCTATAGAGCTCTTTCTATTTATCTTTGTACACAGAACTTAAAAAAGGGAGTACCTGTTCAACATGAAGACTCAGATTTGGAATCTTAGGATTAACCACTTGAGTCTCTTGCCAGGCATTAACATTTACAATATAACACATAGAAATTTTAACCCATGATCATCGAAAGAAAACTGTCTGTGCCTTTGAAGATAGCTGTGTCTTTATGTAGCATCACCTAAATTATGTGCAGTTAAGAAGTCAATCTCATGTTGCTGACACCAACCCTCTGTAAAACCTGCAGGTATAAAAGTTGAGAAGTAAATTATAGCACTAATAAAGTTAACCTGGTGGAGTCCAAAATGGCATATACAGCAAAGAATAAAGCAAACAGAAACAGCTCATGCTGTTATAATTGCTACAATTTCACTGGCAATTTAAATAAAATAATTCAAATTGCTGCAATTAACACAGACATAGAATTCAAAGGATATTGGGCGACCTCGTACAAATCGCATTGTGAAATCAGCCCTCCTCCAGAGAATTAACCTTCATAAATCATTTGCATCCAGAGGACGCCTGGATTCATACTCTGTAAAGATGCACAGGAAAAGGAAGGCCCCTAAAGGAGAATGGCCGTCAATAGCAAGCACTGTTTCCCGGTTTGTATCGCCCATATGAATGCACAGAGATCGGCCGTGTTATATTCACAAACTCCCTGGCTGAAGGTAGGATTTTGCTTTTTCTGCATGGTTGCCCCTGTGGAGCTTTGAAGGAATCTGTCAGCAGGGACTGAAGGCTGCTGTATCGCTGAGAAGTGATTCTGATTCACGTTGACAGAGATTCTACTTTTACTTGACTGCAGAAGCACAGGACCATCTTGCCTGTGATTTAGGTCTGAAAAAAGGGCTCTCTCCTCCAATGCATTAGTGCACAGTAACCACAAATTGTTATTCGCAAAGTGGGGGAAATTTGTTCAATGTTTCTCCAGTCACCTGAAACCAGATTTAAGACATATTATCTGGGACACATTGAAAGCCTTTTCTCTTATTAGGTCAGACTTATGCAAGTACAGAACTGACAGTACCAAGAATGATGATTTGTGGTCAAAAATCAAAAAAGTAACACTTGGGTGAGTCTAATATGAGTGAGAAATGACCTTTACTATGCCTTGTTCTGAGGTGGTCAAGATTTGGGGAGCAAGACAACCCATTTGAACAACTGCCAAACAGAAAGAATTCAAAAGCACTTTTAACATCTAGAATGTGCAATTTTTTTTAACACCTTAATAAGAATCTTGACTCTAGATGATGCTATTTCAATAGTATGAAACTCTTTTCTCTGCCATTTTTTGAAATAACACATAAATGCTTTACAACACAAAGGCAAAGGAAGTATTAAATTATTACTTGCCACTCACATTTTCCCTTAAAGCTTTTGTCCTACTACCTGTGTTTGTGGACTTGTCTGCTTAATGAATACCAATGCATTTTGTAGCCAAAATCATATTTCAAATGGTTCTTATGCTAAATTTAATTTGTGTGATGATTATTAAATCATTGGCAATAGGATAGTAAAAGAATAGTCAATAATGAAGATAATTCAAGTCAATTTGAAGGAAAAATGCAATTGCTCAGCTATGAAAATGATAATTGTGAATTGAGAGGGAACTGAAACTCTTTGCAAATTATTCATGTAACGGATATTGTCTCAAATAGAGATAACAATAAACAAAAGCATCTATTTAAATTAGCTTCTCCTCACCAAGGAGGATGGGTAAATCCTTATGACAGAAATTCTATGAATGGCTATAGCTGGATCCAGATGTCTCTAGCAGAACAAAATGGTGGGAGGTGTAAAATAAAAATCAGAAGAACCAGCAGAAGCATGTACTTTGCTTGTGAAATGTTCACGTCCAGTTAGCCAGGAAATAAAAAAGTAGTGCTGGCAAACTGAAAGAACAAAAATATGATTCAAAACTAGGAAACAAAATCAGAATTCTTGAATACAAAACATTTATATGCAAATCCATAGAAGTTAAAGAACATTCTTCTTGAGATAAGTACTCCTTTAAAGGCTGACAAAATCAGATTCTTAAGTGGCTGTGTCTGAACATTAGTTGAAACAGCTTAAATGGTGCATGCTCAAGAATAACAAGTTTTAGTAATTTATTCCCAAAGTGACCTTTCCCAGACCATAATAAATCATCCATATGTAGTGTCTTTTTCCATGAACCTTCCATTTAAAGAAGGCAAAAATAGAAGTACTGCAGAGAGTTTGAGGCAGTGACTGACTCCAATAAGAAGAATGAAATTGGAGCATAAAAGCACAAATATAACTTCCTGGCTGAAATTCATCTTTGAAGAAAGTGCATGACCTATGGCTACACCCCTGAAATCACTCTTGCCTCATGCCCCAGATTTCTTTTACTTCTGTGGATAGTAAAGAAAAAAGGAGTTGTCACTCTTACTATTCACATTCAAATATTGAGTAAGAAAATCAATTTTAAATAAATGAACAAAAAGATTAGAGGGGATTGTGTTTGTCCCATTGAAACAGAAGCCTAAGGAACTAATTTTAGAATTCAAGTTTTGAGACTCAAAATAGTCAGTATTACTCTTATTTGAAAATAAATTGTTTACATCAAAGTTATTAAAAATGACTGTAATAAAAATGACTATTCATGGTTTATACACTTCTGTTTAACAAAAATTTGTCCTTAAAAGCCCTAAATTCTGTCTAAATTTAAGGCTGAAATTTTAAAGTAACAATGCTTTTGGAAATCTGAAGTTTTATGACAGCATTTCCTGCAGTTCCTTTGGCTCATTGTGCATTGTTGTTTATGCTTAATGTAAATTTACATTTTTCAAATAAAGTCATACTTATAAATACACAATACACACAAAGTTATAAAATTAGGTATAGTTATAGACAAGGAGAAGAAAAATAAAACAGAGCAATGTAACAATTGTCATAGCAATACAGAGTTTAAAGATAAAACCACACTACATTTTTTATAAATGACAGAATTTTAAATTTCAGTTGAATGATACTTAAAATTCTCAAGATAGAAATGGTTTACCCATAAGCCACCCTCTGTCATCATTCTATAATTACAAATTCAAAGTAAATGAGATTGATTATTTGTTATAGTTTTATAGCATCATAAGTATAATAACAATTTGATGTTATGACTTATATTAAAAATACATAGATACATTGAATTCTAAAAAATAGTGTATAAACAAGCTTGCATATAAATTTATCCTTGAAGAGTGGTTTTGCTAAAGGAATAGTAGGAACAAAACACTGCTAAAATAATCATAGTTCAGTAAATGTTCATAAAAATAATAAAATGACTTGTTATGAAACATAAATTTGAACTAATATATAGACATGGATCACCTCTATAAATATACTGTGGAATTTAAACTATTCTGTGAGAAGAATCTAGATCACAAAAGATTGCACAGCACTGTGCATCCAATAATGAACAATTTATTGACACATCTTTCTCTGATTGTATGTGTTATAGGAAAGGAAAAAAATAAGCTATGCTTCATGCCTCTTCCTGGAAGCAAGTTTCTGCCTTGATCAGACATACTGTATTTATTAAACCGAAACAGAAAAATATTTCTCAAAATCCATTTATGACAACTCAAATACAAAAGAAAAGGGGAAAATAAAAGCATCTATATGAACTAGCTGCATAAGTTAAATAGAAGGAGAGGAGGATATTTTTCATTTTGACCAGAGAAATTTTCTCATAGAGTGTGGTTTAAGAAAACTAAAAGAACAAATTTGTCAAGGTGTTAAAGGCAATTCTTAAATAGCTCTGGGGAGAAATATGAGCAGGAATAGAATAAAAGTATCCAGTAATCTACCATTATTTTTTGTTAATATTTTATTTTCCCCAAAAATATACTTCAGAAATATTTTACACGAAATCAAAAAAATAGTTCTGCTCATCTTGAACAATGCATTTCTCAAAGCATTATTTATGAATTATTTAACCTTTCCTTATTTCTTCCTCTAGTGAATAATGATTAGGTAATAAATGAAACAGAGTTCAATAAATTGTTTGGTGCATCATATATTAACATACATCTTAAGAAAAAAAAAATACCTAAGTTTAGTTCTAAAAAATAGTGTGAGAGTTGGATATCAAACCAGCAGGATTTTGTTCCTGCTTGAGGAGTATTTTGCAGTGCTAAATTACCTTAACATGTCCACTTTAATCTGATTCGTTTTTCTCTGGGCAACAAACAAAAGTCTTTCATGCAAATGATCAAGAGAAGACTGTGATGAAAAGTCTGCAGTTAGGAGTTGGAATCCAGTAAAGCCTTTACTGACTTGATTTTAGATGACTGATGAATCAACTGAAATTGCTATGCATCATTTTCTTCACCTGTACCTCAATGGCATGCTGCTACAGAGATCTTGGATTTATAATAATCAAATATTATGATCAGGAAGCATTGACATTGTATAACATATCTCATAGTCCTTTCTGAGATGCCCATCACTGTACAATGCAAATGATGAAAGGAGTAAAAATGAAGTCAAAGGGGAGTGAAATGAATAATCTCAGTTCTCCTCAATAGGGAAACTATGTTCTTGAAAGTAGAACACAAAACATTTGATACCAAGACAATTGCTGAGCCAAACGAAATTTCACTAGCTAATGAGTAGTTGGGATCACTCATTGTGCAATACAATGAACAATTGATTAAGTAGACCTTTTGGTATTAAGTGCCAGAAAGGTGTATGTTAAGTGAGTTAGGAAGAAAATGTGAAAAAAGATGGAGTCAGTGCAGTGTACGAGGTTATATGCATTTTTAACTGTTGTAGTCACGTAGCAAAAAATGCCTACTTAGATACAATCATATTAAAGAAATAGTGAACCACACTACATTTATTGAAAGAAATTGATTTGCTTGATATCATCTAAGAAGTAGACACTGTAAGTTCAAATTTGAACCAGCCAGCAGAGATAGGTATATACAGTACTGGTTTCTCTTAATGATAGAAATGCAACTGGCTATTAGAGTATTATTACTATTTCCTTCACTGAAGCTTGTGATCCTTTGAAATAAAACAGATTTAGCAGTTGGTATTACACCAGGCTTAATTTGCCAATGAAACAACTAAGTTTCAATAGCTTTCTGTTTGTCTCCAAGTTTAGAAATCCCACATATCTATCCATTTTTCACCATCTCCATTGTTTCCCTCATAGATTAATATCCTGTCAATGTTCATGTAGACTTTCTGAGTAACTGGGCCCCTATAGTATGTTATATGGGCTTTCTATCCATTCTCCTCACTGCAACCAGAATTAACTATTTTAATGCAAATTTGTTTGTGTCACACAGCAAAAAACTCCACTTGAAACAGGTTAATAGCTACCCTTTGCTCATAAGACTAACCTGATCTATCTATAAACCTGCCTATATTATGCTGTATCTCAATCTGTATAACTTACACATCTCTACACTTCAGACACACTAGGTTTTATTCAATTCTTTGAATCTCTTGCTTGCTTTCAAGCCTTCGCATAGGCTTTTTTTTTTTTCTTTTTTTGAGACCAAGTCTCACTTTGTCACTCAGACAGGAATGTGGTGGCAAGATCTCCCGCCACCCGCTCACTGAAACTCCCGCCTCCCGGGTTCAAGCGTATCTCTTGCCTCAGCCTCCAGAGTAGCTGAGACTACAGGTATGCGCCATCCAGCCCAGATAATTTTTGTATTTTTAGTAGAGACAGGATTTCACCATGTTGTCAAGGATGGTCTCAATCGATTTCCTGACCTCTTGATCTGCCCTCATTGGCCTCCCAAAGTGCTGGGATTACAGGCACTGAGCCACTGTGCCCAGCCTACATAGGCACTCTCTTAATCTAGAATGTTTTTTCGATTATCCCCACACTCCATTAGCTTACTTCCTACACTCCCAATTAAAACTCAGTTCAAGCTTTACTTTGCTTAGTTTTTAAATTCTGTCACAGATTGGTATTGCTTTATTCCAACGTGCCCATGTCACAATATATTTATATGTGTTTAATTTTAAGTTTTTAAATGTTTTCTTTTTCACGAAAAATAAAGAATACGGAAAAGTGCACGAAACAAAATCAACTGCTCAATGATTTATCATTGAGAGATGAATCATGTACCCACCACACAGGAGTAGAATTTTGCCTGCATTATTCATGCCCAACTCATTCCTATGCTCAATTAATGCACACTCTGAACACCCTTCCAAAGGGAAGCATTGTTATGACGTGTCTATTGAAAAACCTAAAGAATTTTACTATCTAAGCATATATCCCAAACACAAAAAGCATGGATTTGTTTGTATTTTTTTCTTTTGAGCATGATAGAAATGAAACAAAAAACTAACTATTCTTTGTTTTGATGATTGATAATGTAGGTTTTTCAGTTTTATTTTTTGTACTCAAAATTACCTACATAATTTTTGGTTGTTAAAATTTCAAAATAAAATTTTTAATCAAATTGACAAAAATGAGTTTTCCAATTTATGCACATGATATAGTCCTCCATTTGTGTAATTCTTATTTAATTGATCTCTACATTGTCGTTGAGTGTCCAGTACAGAGAACTTGCACATTTTTAGTTGGATTTATTTTCTAGGTGGACTTTTAATTCTCTTATAAATTGTATGAGTTTTTAAACGTAATTTTCTATTTAATTGTTGCTAGAATGTAAAATACAATTAATTTTGTTCAGTTCCTTTTGCCTAGGATCCTTAATATAATAAATTCAGTTATTATTTTTAATCATTTTTAATACATTATTTTGGATTGTCTGCATACACAATAATGTTATTTGTGCATCATTCCAGTTTTATTTCATGCTTTCAACACACATTTACAGTTTCTATTTTTATTTTCCTAACTTACTACTATAACTAGAGCATTTAATACAATATAACATAGATAAAAATTAAATAAACATTTATATCTTGTTCCTGTCTCAAAGAGAAAACTTTCAACATTTCAAAACGAGGTATAATATTTACTGTAGGGATTTTGTGGTACCCTTTATGTAAGTAAAACAGTTATTTGTAACTCTCATTTGATAATTGTAGATGATTCACATGTACATATACATGTATTACATGTTATTAAATGTTATAGATCCCTTCTATTATATGTTTATTTTCTAGGTTAATTTTGTCCTCACCTTTCTTATTTTCTTTTTTTTTTATGTTTTGTCAATATTATTTTTGTTCTGTTTCTAAAATTTTAATATTGTTTATTAGGTGATTGATTCTTAACCTTCTCAAGTACTGGTTGCTTCTAATTTTACCAATTTTTATGTATGTTAATTTTATCATCTTTCATCTAAAAATAGTTTCTTATTTTATTATTTCTTCTTTGACAGTAAAAATATTTGTGCTCTAAATTTTTTTATTTCTAGATACATTTAATTTTCAAAATAGGATATGTACTGAATAATTTTGATCATTTGAAATGTATGGAGACTGAACGGTTTAATTTTACAAAAGTTTTATATGCATTTGGAAGAAATGTGTCTTCTTCTGTTCTGTGTACTCTATACTAAATATGTTCATTAAATCAAGTTTGGTAATTGTGTTGTTCAAATCTTTCATATCATCATTGATTCTTCTATTAGTTACAAATGGGGAGTATTAAAATATCTCTAAAAATTGTGAACTTGCCTACTTTTCATTGTGAGTCTATGTACTATATGTTTGAAGCTATGCTACTGGATATAGATAAATATAGATATTTTTGTTTCTTTAATATTATTATTTTCCTCTTTGCACCTATTTAGGCATTTTGCTTATTTGGTCTGCTATTAATGTAGTTACATTTATTCACTTTGAATAATGTTTGAATGTTGATGATACAGTTTTTTCCCCACATTTTACTTTAATTTTTCTGAATCTTTATTTTTACATGAACCTTCTAAAAATAACGTTGTTAGATTCATTTTTATTTAATGTTAAACTTTGTATCTTAAATGAAATTTAATCCATTTACATTTAATATAGCTACTGTTACATTTGTATTTAAATCTACCATCTTACTAAGTGCTTTCTATTGGCGTACCTGTTCTATATTTTTGTCTCTTCTTTCTTGCTTTTTACCTTGATTCAGCATTACTTGCTATTCTATTTCCCTTTTCTACCTCTGGCAAGTTATACAATCCTTTACTATACCCTTAATAGTTACCCTAGAGAGTAGAACATATTTTATTCACCAATGTCTAATATTAACTGATATTTTTACCTTTTATCCAGACAATGCAAGGCTCTTTAAACACTTTACTTTCACTTTTTTCCTGACATTTATGCCATGCATGTCATATATTTTAATTCAACTTAAATTTTAGAATGCTCAGACTACTATTTTTATCATACCATAAGGACAAGGACAATACTTTGATATTTAACATTTTCATAACTCTTTATTCTTGCCTATATTTCTGATCTTCCATTTTGTAATGAACTGAATGTTTGTTCATTCAGTTCACCCACAAAATTCATATGTTGAAGACTTACCTATCAATGACATCATTTGGGTATTTGGTTGTGGAACCTATTGGAAGTAATTAGGTTTCTAAAAGTTCATGAGGGTAGGGCCCTCATGAGATAATTGCTGTTTTTATCAGAAAAGCCACCAGAGAAGAACTTTCAATCTCTCTCTCTTTCTCTCTCTCTCTCTCTCTCTAGCTTCCTCTATCCCAGGGAAAGTCGCATGAGCAAAGATCAAGAAGGAAGCCATCTGTGAGCCACAAAAACAGCCCCTCATGAGAAACAGAATTCGTTGGCACCTTGATCTAGGACTTCTCCTGCAGAACTGTGAAAAATAAATTTCTATTGTTTGACATGCAGTCTTTGGTCTTTTTCTGGGAGCCCAAGCTGAATAATACATACCTGGGATGATTTTTTTTTTTCTGGAGAACATTCTATATTATATCCTTTTTTTTTTTTTTTTTTTTTTTTTTTAAGACAGAGTTTTGCTCTTATTGCCCAGGCTGGGGTGAAATGGTACGATCTCAGCTCACTGCAACCTCTGCCTCCTGGGTTCAAGCAATTCTCATGTCTCAGCCTCCTGAATAGCTGGGATTACATGTGCCCACCACTATGCCCAGCTAATTTTTGGAATTTTTAGTAGAGATGGCATTTCACCATGTTGGCCAGGCTGGTCTCAAACTCCTGACTTCAGGTGATCTACCCACCTCGGCCTCCCAAAGTGCTAGGATTACAGGTGTAATCCGCTGCATCTGGCCTATTATTTTCCTAACTGTGAGTTTAGGTTTAGAATTTTGGTTTAGCAAATATTGTTTTTCAGAACTTTATAAGTTTTATATGTTCATTTTCCACTTTCTCTTGTACTTATTTTTATATTAGTTATTATCCTAATTATCACCTCTATAATGATAATATGTCACCTTTTTCTTCTCCCTTTTTACAATTTTCTCTTAATTTTCTTGCTTACAGTTAATTTACTATGGTTTATCCAGGTAATGATTTATTTTTCCTGGAGATCATAGGGCTTCTCCAGTGAGCAAATTGATGTTTTCAGCTTGAAAAACATTATTAGCCATTTCTCTTGTTTCCTTTGATAGATTATAAACTTTATAAAAGTGGGATTTTTATATGTTATTTTAATCACCTTTATATTCCAGTACACAGTGTCTGATAAATATGTGTTGATTTATCCACAATTCTGGGAAGCCCTCTTGATATGTCCTTCCTTACTCTTTCCTGCTCTGATTTCAACATCTGTCCGCTGTGCCTCTCAGTATTCTGTCCTTAAACACATTATGGTTCCTATTGCACTAAAAGCACAGTGTTGTCAGTCAAGGCAGTCACCTGTGGGTGTGCTCAGCTATACCATCTGGGTAAACAAAGACGTGAAATAAATGTGGCCTACTCTTCAGTGGCATTTGAGTAGTTTTACTATAAAGTTAAGCAGTTTAATTAGATATTTGAAATATTCCTGTACATAACAAACACAGGTGGAATGCAGCCATGGTTTTTAAGCAGGTTCTAAGCAACTTCAGTCTGCAGCGAAGCCGTCTCTGTAACGAGCGTGGGGCTTACATATCCCCATGTGTGTCATAGGCTTCATCTGTCTACTTTGGATTGAATTTTCTATTAAAAATATAGTGAATAAAAGGGTCCAGAAGCTACTTGAAAAAAACTCAAACTGCATTATTTAAAAACAAAAGTTTAAATGCCAAGCATTCAGGCTATGTTCCCTGGTCCCCATTCTCTCTTCATCAGAGATTTTTCAGAAGCTCTGTTTGTATTTTAATTCAGAATTTGCTTGTATATCTGCAAGATTTTAGACATTGGTATGGCATAACTTTTGCTTTTAATCGTCTTTATATTTCTCAAGCCTAGCACGGTTAAAAATATATATAAGAACTGAATAAATGAGCGGATGAATACATGAATTACATTATGTATTGTTGTCATTTTATGTCTTTGAGAATCACTAGTTAATAGGTGGCAGCAGACGCCATGGACAAGTCTCAGGAAAGGCTATGCAAAAATTAAAGTAAACAAAAAGATATAAAACCTTTATCTACAAAAGGCAAGCACTTCTGACATGATCTGTTTCAGCAATGTTAATAAAGCTAAACTGGTATAACTGTCGTTCTACATAATCATTTCAGTTAATATATTCACTCTAACCTATTTTGCATCTATTTGTTTATCACTGCATAAACAGAAGTGAAAGATCTACTGTTTGCTAGCTACTTAACTTTTGTGAGTGTAGCATAATTATAAGTGAATTGATAAGTAATGAAAACATTAAGTGTTGTGTAAAGATTATGACTCCAGTGCCTAGTAGGGCAATTAAATTTGATGTTTGTTACTCTGTCTCACAGTGAATAATGATATGGTTTCCCCTGTGACTATGTAAATAGCTGATTGATAACAATAGAGAAGTGGTTATGAAGGCCAATTCTACTCATTATTTAATATGTGACTAAGCAATTCATTTCGAAATTAAAGTGATTGGGAGCAAACACTATAATTCGGCACAGATGAGATCAATGTTGGACCCTAATGAGTGTAAGGTGGTAAATGCTTTTTATTTTTTAAAATTTATTGAATTGTGAGATGAATAAGAAATGAACATCATGGAGCATTAGTATTTGTAAGCTATGACTTGATTACTAATCCATTTGCCTGGGACCAAGAAATAAATAATAAAATGAAATATAGCCAACATTTTCAGAAAGTATTAAAACCCAATACATTGCACACAGCATGGATGTGATGAATATATGTTATTAAGTTGTTTTTGTTCTTTTGTTTGTTCATTCCTTTCTTAACATTCCTTTTAGCAATAAATAGTTTGATAAATATATAGTCACTTTAAAACAAATTATGTTAGATATTTAAATGTCTAAGGTCTTTTAATTTTTACATTTGACTCGAGTAACAATCAACAGCAGGTTCAAGAATGAAACACATGGATGATAATAAATCGGAAAGTCTCTGCATCACATCGGGTTTGCCCAACAGGCAGGCCAAATATTTACTGAAGGAATGAGCAAAGCAGACCACAAAAATCATTTTTGGAAAGATTTTTTACAATAAAATGCATAGTGTTAGTTATAATGAGAACTGATAAGACCGTGTTGGACTGTCCTAAACTTATTTGATGATTATGTATTATTTTATACTGAATTACATTAAGCTGGGGGGAGGCTGAGACGTAACATAAATTGTTGGGTGATTTAAAAGTCTTAATAGACCAGGCGTGCTAACTCATGCCTGTAATTCCAGCACTTTGGGAGGCCGAGGCAGGTGAATCAGGAGGTCAGGAGATCACGACCATACTGGCTAACATGCTGAAACCCCATCTTTACTAAACACACAAAAAATTAGCCAGGCATGGTGATGCGTACCTGTAGTCCCAGCTACTAGCGGGGCTGAGGCAGGAGAGTATCTTGACACAGGAGGTGGAGGTTGCAGTGAGCCAAGATTGCGCCACTGCACTCCAGCCTGGGTGACAGTGTGAGACTCTGGCCCCCCTCACAAAATAAAAAAAAACTTAATAAGGCCCAGCCTTTACATAAAAATAAAAAGCTGCCTTAGACTCTGAAGAATAAATTAAACTCCACATGTCCACACAAGAACGATGAAATAGTACCTGAATGACATTGTCTTTTTTTCAGAAAGTTGACAGAAGTATTTATAGGAGTTTGGACTTACACTGCCACTGTCTTAGAGACTGAGGCTTTAAGAGTAGAGAATAGAAGGCACAGTTTAGAAGATACTTGATGGTTCACGTGATGTTGTCCTGCTCCTTGGAACAAAATTTGACCAGTATTTTACAGAAAAACACATTGTTTTAAATTATACTGCACCGGTTATTTTAGAGCCTAGTCCTTTTTGAATCATCATCCTTTTTCTGTATTTTTAGAATAATTTTATTAAAGTCAGAAATAGGCTTCCAAAGTTGCGAGGTAAAAATTACCATGCTAAAAGATAAATTAGTAATTCTGAAAAATGTTTTACTATAAAATACAATTTTTATAATAATGGCAAATCTTTCCTTTTCACCACAATTAACCATCTGGCAAATGAGATATAATTTGGTCATCATTTGGTAATACGATTTCAATAGACAAAAAGAATACTAATAATACAATGAACCAAATTTCATTATCTAATATAATTCATTATAATTTCTCTAGCACTTCAGTTTTGTTTTCAATGACTCTCTTTGTTAATCTTTTTGCATCTCTTTCATGAAGATGAATAATACAACACATTCCCAATTGATAGACATGGAAAGTGAAAGTAAATGCTAAGTAATTTATCTGTGGCAATTTCTAAAAAGGCTACATTATTTATGTAGCCTCTGGTATTTACAGACACAATTAATTCAACAAACATTTACTGGATGCCTACCATGCATCAGCACTGTATTGGCCATTGTCAACAATGAAGACAACGTAGGCTGAGACATAAATGAGTCTAGAGAAAGAAGTGAGAAAAAATTTTAAATGCATTTTGCAAAGTAAATTTTCAAGAGAATAGGAGTTGCCTGGAAACTATAAAATGGATCACAAGAATGTATTTCAAGAAGTTTATCAGATGATGATGGTATTGGCTATAAGAATTCAGGAGGAAAAAAAAGAGTCTAGAATAATTTTTCTTTCTTTGTTTTTTCTTTAAAAAATTGAATTGATATTATTGATGGCACTATGCTCAGTATAGGCAATTCATAAGGAGTAGATTCTTGGGAAGATAAAGTAATTAACTCAATTTCCAAATTTGAGTCTTGATGGCACTTCAGATATGTAGTGTAAGAACTTGCTAAGTTCTAGAGATATTGATTATGAAACAGTTAAGATCGTTGCAGGGAATCAAAAAGATTGGCCAAGAAGAATATATTGAGTAAGAATATATAAGGCTGAGAAGGAAGTTTTGGGGTAACATTTATGTTTAAATGATGAAAAGAAGGAAAGAGGCCAGCAAAGTACCTTAAGTGGCAATGGTCAGAAGCATAAAAAGAGGCAGAAAGTAGGGTCCTGGAAACATTCTCCCCACCCTGCAATATATATATATCACAAGAAGATTAAATCAGCCAAGGTTTTTTTTTTCTCCATTGATGCTATGTAAAACAACCCACAAGGTAGCAGTGCTTACAACCAAGCATTTTCTTTTTCTGACATTTTAGCCTATGGGTCAGCTCGAGCAGCTCTGTTCATGTTTTTGGCAGTGCCAGGCCTGGCTCCAGTTATAGGTTGAGTTCAGGCGTCCACCATGTGTCATCTTGTTCTCCCTAGACCACCACTAGCTGGAAATGTTCTCAAGGAGCATGGAAAGAGCATAAGAAGCCAAGCACATTAGAGTCCTG